TGCTTGTGCAAAGTATATCAAGCCTCCTAACTTTTTTCACACCCTGTACTGATATAGTTGCACTAGAACCCTGTACAAAGTGTCTGGAATACTAGTAAGCTAAATTATTCATAAGTTTTGGAGAGTAGTTTAAAGGTATCCTAGAGGGAGGTGAATATTTTTGTAAAAAGCTCTATTCATACATCTTAAGTTATGTGCATAGTATTATGTATACATATTTACAAAAGCTCTGCTGTTTTAGTGCTTTGAATATTTTAAGATCAGTGGGACAAAATTGATATTTTCAATTACATATGTAATACCTTGTATTATGATGGAACTGGTTGGTCTGTAGGTGTTACTACAATATATATTCTTTGATGATAATGAAATTGCAAGTATTTCAGTATTTTAAGGTACACAGTCCTTGATGAAAATATAGGTGATTCTGTTTTGGTTTTTCTGTGCAAGGTTTCATTTGAGCTTTCTAGGAATATTTAGGCTATATTTCTCATGAAACTAAAATATGAGTTCCCTCTGATCTACACAAAAAACAGATTTACTGAATGATGATTATGATCACTATTTGCTATCTGTCTTCTCAAGGAGAAAATCTGAGATGAAATTTAATTTTTAATGTATAAGTTCATTGAACATCTTAGTTCTACACGACTGTTGTGGAGGGTCTAATCCTACTTGCATTAAAGATGACATGCATCCCTTGAAATCATCGTAATTTGACCTGATTGTATCAGTGATCTTTTTGGATTTTTCTCTGCTTGCTTCTACAGTTAACACTAATTAATATTAGATAGAGAATAAAATATGTCTCACTAGAGATTAAACTATCCTTCCAAGTTCTAGGCATTATTTAGTATGGCTCACTCACTTCTGATCCAGAAGGGCATGGAGGTTGCATGCAGTGCTGAAGTTGTAGTTGCGTACTAGTTGGTGAGGCACTAGCCTTCAGAATATGACACTTTTCATTTTTTGTCCCTTTATTGTTAGTTGTTCAAGTAAAACAAAAGTTCCATTGCAAATCCACACTGGCCTCCATAGTCGTCCTGCATGTTGTCTTCTTAATAATTTGGGATTCCTGGAGGACACCAAGTTATAGTATGGAATTCTGATTGAGAATCCCTGAGGATCCAGCAATAATATTACAGAAGCATTTTCAAAGTAAAACATTTTGCGGGAATGTTTCTTAAAAATGTGTACCAGTGTGTATTTATTCTGAGCCTTCCATTCTGTTCTACTGTAAATGGAGGTTTACCTTTTTCTCAGCTCATGGTAAGTAAATCCCACTCTGTTCCAACAGTTTGGAACTGCACAAATAAAGTTCATGGAACAGCTCATCATTTGGCATTACTAGTTTACTTTATGATCCATGTGATTTGGGAAGGGATAGTGCTATCTTACAGCAAGCAGAACAAGTGAAGTCTTCACAAGCACGGAAGATGAATATTCTGCTTCTGAGCTAGACTGGTGAAAATCCAAACTGAAGATTTTTCCTTTTACAAGTTTGCGATCCAAGGAAATTGTTTCTTTGTATCTCTCCTCCCTTTCTCTATACAGCTGGATGAAAGTGTCCTGGCATGGATTCATCCAATTCATTACTTAGTATGTGACTATCTGCTCTGGTGCAAATAGTGCTTGGCCACCTTAGATATTATAATAATATAGAGATGGTGTGCATCAAACCATTTGATGTCATTTTTCTTACTTTGCAACAATAGCTGATCATCATTAAGTATACTGGCCTACAGTACCCCATTACTGAACAGTCTTTTGCATACATGCTAAAATAATATTTTAAAATGTAAAACATTCTTGAAAAAATAAAAATTCAAAAAAAGTTTAAAAGTTTGTTTTCCTTTTTTTTAACCCCCACAGTATCCTGATTTATTTAAAATTGAGCGTTTCCCTCCTTTTCCCCCCAACTCCAAAATATCACCTTAGGACTTCAAATCTTCAGAATGCCCAAGGTAAGTGATTTACAGCTGCTACATTTGCCTGGTTTGCAACCCACTGAAGCACTGATGACTTTCAGACCCAGTTACCAAGAAGCACAATGCATTAACTGAGTAAAATGTATTTATATTCATTAGATTCACTTTTCACATGGGAAAACTAAAACCATATTTCAACAAGGCTACCACACATACAG